CAGCTCAAACTCTTCCATGAAGGCAAACTCAATGGAAGCAATTTTCTTCTGGATTACACCCAGGGGAGGGAAATTAGCATTCAGACTCTGTCACTCACTGGCTGACCTTACTAAGCCTCAGCTTCCTCATCCGTAAACTGGGACTACTTTAGGAGGTTGCTGTGAGGATTCAATGAGATTACTCTTGTAAGGAGTTTAGCACAGTGCCTGGGGCCCAGTGAGTACTTTCTCAGGGCTGGCTGATAACACTATAGGGTCCAGAGAAGTTTACCTGGACTTGAGAAGCCGTTGAGCCAGGCCTGCAGGGATTGGGAGAGCAGGGTGCACATCCTCAGGTGGCCAGAGCATCAGCATCATCCACCAGAACAGAGTCCACCAAGGGAGCCAGCCTCCCCCAGCTGGGGCTGCAGGCCAGCAGGAAGGGGGAAGGGAGGACGTCTCTTACCAGGCCCAGGTTCAGAGAGTTGTTGTCATCTTCAGGCATGGGCAGGTACACGGCCAGGGCCACACAGTTGGCAAAGATGGTGAGCAAGATGATCGTCTCGAAGGGTCTGGTGCCAGGGTTAAGGAGAGATTTTGAGTGACCCGTGGGGTTTGGAGGGTTCAAGGGAAGAGAGTGCTGAGAGTCAGCCTGGACTATGACTTAATGCCAGGTGATGGGCCGGCTGCTCCTTTTCCACTCTCCTGCAGGGTACAGAAAGGGCCAGGGAAACTGCTGGCCTCTCCCACCCTAAGGAACAGGTAACTTCCACTTAGATTCTTTGGGACTACAAAGACCTGGTAGCTGGCTGAGGGGTACTCAGATTTAAGGGGTGTGGGTTGTCTGAATATTGCTCCATCCTGTTCTCCCCACCCCCTGCCCAAGGAGCCATGACTTTCTGAGATTCTGGCCAGGCAACCTTTCAGGGGCTCAGCCAGGGAAATGGCAAGGGAAGCTGGTGGACCGATGCAGGTTAGGGCTAAGTACCCAAAGAGCGGGACCGGGAAGGAAGACCGGGAGATGAAACCTGGATTTCCAGAGCCTGAGGAAGGAATCAGTAACTGATTAAATCAGCATACCACAGAGCTGTGCACTCATGCTAGTTATACATGGCGTCCACCTACTCACACCCACCCACACATCCGCCCCCTCCCAGACACACCCATCCCTCCACAGCCATTTTCCAGAGGGCACCCACCACCCACACCTGTTCCTTTCCTGATTTGCTGGTGAGCAGTATGGGCCAACCATAGAGTGGCAAGAAGGAAAGGGAGACAAAGCATAAGTTGTTTGTGTGTGGTTGGGTTGGGGGCATACTATGCAGATGAGCTTGATTGAAAAATCCCATTTCCTTCCCAGCAACCTCCAGTGTTTGAGAAGAGAGGAGGGCTGCAGGGGCAGGGGCCTGCAAGAGGAGAAGACACAGAGGGGCAGAGAATAGGGGAAAGTGGGAAGTCACCAGGTAAACCTGCTCTCAGGAGCCTGGGTGGCACAAATGTTTTGTGATTGGCTGCTAAGTGAAAGGTTTGTGGTTAAAGCCCACCCAGCGGCTCCTGGGGAGAGAAGGTCTGGTGATCTGCTTCCTTAAAGATTACAGTCTAGAAAACCCCATGGAGCAGCTCTAGTCTGTAACATATGGGGTTGTCATGAGTCAGGGGCCAACCCAACAGCAGCTAAACAACAACAAAGCCTGCTGCTCTGACAGAAGACCGGCAAGGAGGAAGAGGCAGTGGGAGGATTCGATGCAGGGTAGCTGAGGGCAGCTGTGGGGAGCAGGGCTCGTGTGGACCCCAAACTAGTTTAACTTGGTCCCAGGTTTTTCTTATCCTCCAGTCACCCCTTATTCGCCTTTCTTCCAGAGAACAGCTGGTGGGAGCCCAGTCTTCTCGAACCCTTCAGAAATATTTCAAATATTCCCGACCCTCTCTCTCAGAGCTCATTTGGCACGGGCCTCCCTCCTCCGTGGAGCTCCTTCTTCCCTTCCCCGAATAACCCAGATATTTTCATCATTCTTCCTCGCAGAGCTAATACAAACATAGAAAGGGATTTGAAGTCCCTGTCCCCAGGGTGGTTCAGTCTGAGTTAAAATAACCAGACTTGCTTGGCCTGGGTCTTGGAGCCATTCACAGCAGCCCTTCTTCAAGCCCATTTCTCCTCCAACTCCATCCCCAGCCGGGTCCAAGTCTGGATTTTCCCCCAGTGGAACCCTTCGCTCAACTCTAACTTCTCTTTACGTTCACCCTGTCTCCCATCAAGGGGGAAGATTTTCCTACAGTGGCCACCCCTTCTCTCCCCCTCCTCCCATTCTACGTCAAAATAAGACTGTTGCTTCAATTTGGGTACACTTGGGAACAACCCCATGAAACATCCCAGGCCCCTTCCCGAGATGCTCAAGAGGCATCTCAGCTTGTCACTCAGGCCTTGGGTCGCCCATTCTTGCCCCAAGAAGCCCACCAATTCCTTTTCCTTCTCTCCCGCTCAGTTGACGGCTTCCTTCTCAAGACTCCTTGTGACTCTCTGGCCATTCCCCCATCTCCAAGTCCCCAGTCTCCCTGGCCCCCAAAGTTTGTGCTCTGTGACTCCCTTGTCTCCCCCTCCCATATGATACACACTCTCCCGGCAACCCCAGGGCCCTGAAGGATACTTCCATTCCACAATGCTGATGCAGGCCTTCCTCAGGGGGTTCTGGAGGGTCAGGCAGAACAAGGTGCGGGGCGGCCTTGGCAGAATCTCAGGAACGGGCTTCTTGGGCTGTTTCTTCTTCAGGCCCTCATCCTGGGGTGAGGAGGGCTCCATGGCTTCCCTGGCTACCTTGCTTTCTCCCGCTCCCCAACCCCACCGCCTGCTCTTCCCTGCGTCACCAATGCCCCCGCCTTGGGGACTGGGCTGGCTGAGCCTGCCCAGCCGAGCCTGCCCTGCTGAGCTAGCCAGGGGCGGGGGCGGGTGGATTACTCTCCTTACTCCCAGCGAGTAAAATTAGCCTGCACTCAGCTCCCTGTTGCCCAGCCTGAGCGCCCGAGGCCAGGCAGCTGTCATTCCTTCCCAGCCTAGCCAGTGACATCCCAATCTGTTCCCCGAGGAGGTTGGGGTGGGGGTGGGGGAGGGCGGAAGGAACTTACACGCAGGCCTGGGACGGGGCAGTGCAAAACAGGATGGAAGGTTCCAGAGTTGGGGCAATAGAGAGTTCAGGAAGAGGGGTAGCCTATGACATGGAGCCTCAAACCTCCGATTGCCTTCCCCATGCCAAGATTCAGCTTCCCGCTTCTCAGCCCCACAACACTATCCAGAGAAGGCGCTGGGGGGCCTAGCTCAGCACAATCCTACAGCACGACCTACCCACCTCATTACCTGCACAGATCAGGTGGGACTCCTCCCTACACTTACCCCACTCCCAGGTGCACCCTATGTCCTGGAAACAGTTAACCTCTCCCCTTTGGGGTGTAAACTCCCTGGACAACCTTGAGTGTGCACACCTCTAGCACAGCACCTGCCACTTGCACAGACTCTGCATCTTTCTCTCCACCCAGCTGTGCGAGGGTGTGTGCTTTACCTCCGGGACTCTCGCCCCTCTTTCGCATGTACTTAACAACCAAAAAAAAAAAAACAAAAAAAAAACCTGTTGCCATGGAGTCTATTCTGACTCATGGCGACCTCATGCGTTACAGAGCACAGCTAACTGCTCTACAGGGTTTGGATTACAGCCGTGAAAACCCTATGGAGCATTTCTACTCTAACACTTGGGGTCTCCATGAGTCAGAATGCACTCCATGGCAACAGGTTTGAATCTTTATGGAAGCACATCTCCCGGTCTTTCTTCCACAGCACTGCTGGGTATGTTTGGAAATACCAACCTTTAGGTTAGCAGCTGATCACAAACCGCTCGTGCTTAAACTCTCTGTAAATGTTAGTTGAAGGCGTGCGCTAACAGACACCTCCATTCGCCCTTATAACAAGTGCACCAGGCGGGAGTGGGAAAGGGGCCCCGGAGTGGGAGGGAGTAGAGGAGTAGACAATGATAGGAATCACAAACCTCAACAATCCTTTTATTCAGTTCCTTGAGGCAAACACAGCACCAATGCACCTATATGGTACCTGCCCACCCAGACGCTTATAGTCCGAGAGTAAAAACACAGGCTTCACTCAACCTGGAAAAAGCTACAAGGTCACACTGGGGAGCGCGGGGTGCGAGGGAGCCCCCCCATCAAAGAAGCTAGACAGCGCCACCTGGTGGCGCGCGCGCGCGTGCACATGCACGCACACGCACACACACACGCGCGCGCGCACACACACGCACACACACACACACACGCGCGCACACACACACACACACACACACACACACACACACACACACACACCCCGCCTCTCCCAAGTCTGTTCTGTTAGGTCTGGGCTGAGTTCAAGCAGCAACCTAGCCTCTAGCGCCTCCATTTAGGTTCCCTTCCCGAAACCCAAGAAAGCTTTCAACCAGGACGAGTATTTGAGGCCATCTAGTGGAGAGCTGGGGCATAGCGCATCCGAACCAAAGCTCGGCCCGCAATCGGCACGGCTCGCCTCCTAGGAACTCGCAGACAGGGCTGCGCCCGGGGCTGTGGAAGATGGAATAGGGCCACCAAGGCAGGCCGGGTGTACACAATCTGGGGCTGGACTCCGACTTTCCCACGCGCCGAGCTGAGGCAGAGCAGGAGCTAGACCAGGGATGGCCAGTTCGGCGATGCCTTCCTGAAGCCTGGAGAGGTCGCAGCACGCACCCGTTGCTTTCCCTAGTCGCTCCCCATCACTACACCCACGAGGCTCCTCCGGTGTCTATCATGCCCCTCGTACCCCGGCCCTGCACCTCCGACCCAAGCTGGGAAGGATGAGGCCGGTGGTGGCAGGATGTGGCAGAATGGGAGCGCCCCGGACCGCCAAGTGTCAGGGGCTTGCGCCGGACCCCGGGGTTACCCAGCAGACCCAGGCTTCGCCTGGGTGTGGGTTGGGGCCTGCGGATTCCCCAGGCCTGGGGTGGCCACTGGGCCGATTAGTGGCTGGATTCCTCCGACTCGAAGAAAGGTGAGGAGGAGAAGCAGGAGGATTCAGACGACTCGGGCACCAGGGAGGGGGGCACCCGGGACTCGCCGTCGCTGGAGCAGTCCGGCCGGGGTCCTGCGGGTGGCGCGGGGGCGGGCCCGGCGCCGTCCGGGGTCGCGCTCAGCAGGTCCTGCAGGTACTTGATGTAGCGGATGGCGGCGCGCAGCGTCTCCACCTTGCTGAGCCGCTTCTCGGCCAGGGCGCCGGGGAGGTGGCCCCGGAGGCGCGCGTAGCCCTCATTGACACACTTCACGCGCTGCCGCTCGCGCTCGTTGCGCTTCTGGATGAAGGCTGGCTCGAAAGGGTAGTCGTAGACCCCGAAAGCGCCGGGGAAGGGCACGCAGGGGAACACCCCCGCGTAGGCGTCGTAGTACGATGGCTCGGCATGGCCCGGGTACAGCAGGAAGGGCACATTGCCCAGGGGCTCGGCAGAGGGCAGGGGCCCTTGCCGGGAAGGGGGCACGATGCCCAGCTGCATGCAGCTGGGGGGCGCCATGGGCCTCCGGTCCACCAGGGCTCGACAGAAGTTATTGTTCATGGTGCCGCGTGGAGCTGGACCCAGAGTGAGACCCTGACCGAATCTCCCCTGCTTGGGGTCTGCCTGTGCACGGTCCTGACTGCGGGGGGCGAGTCACATTGCCAGCAGCGGCTCTGGAGTGGCAGGACTGGCTAGGGTCTCTTTTCGCCCTTTGGGGTGGCTTCCAGGGTCTCCCTAACGCGAGCCATGGCTTCGGACACGTGTGAGCCCTTGAGGAGGACCAGCAGGCACCGTCTCAAACCCAGTTTGTGATTCTGCAGCACCCGGGGCCCTGCCCTCCTCCGCGGCACCCATGGACAGGGCCACAGGCCTGTGCACCCTGCTTCCTAGAGCCCAGCATGGGCACCTCCCGCCGGAGCTAACCCTGAGGCCCCATACTGCCCCGTTCCCGCCCTCCAGCGCCTTGTCCTTTTGGACTTCGGGATCCCCAGGCTGTTCAGGGGGCCGGGAACAGATGACAGCTCTCAGGAGTGCGCCAGCTCAGCAGAGGGGTCTCCGGAGGGACAAAATTTCTAAACAGAAGAGCAAAAGTAACGATTAGGAAAGGCGTTATATTAGGGGCTCCTTTGTGTCACCCCGCCCCTCAGATGGGATTATAAGTATCATGAGGGGACACTGTGGTTACTGAAGAGAATATACGGAGATGGGGGTTCAAATCCTGTGTTCATCTCTTAAGGGTTGGATTACCTTTCTGAATAGTGGCTTTCGTAAATGAAGCGGTTAAAACAACCCTCACAGGAGATTAATAAAATATGAGGATTAAATGGGAAATAAATATATTAAAAATCACGTACTACAGGGCCTGGCTTATGAAAAATACTCAGTAATGTCATTTCCTTTGAGCCCACTGCTGTCCAGTGGATTCCAACTCATAGCAACCCTATCAAGTCTCATCACTGATGCCTTCCAGGGCCTGAAGTCTACAGGGGCTCAAAGACTGCTTACTGAATTAGCAGTAGAGACCCTAGCTGCAGCCACAAGTCAATGGATGGGTCTAACGCTGTACGGAAGGAAATGCATCTTTGATTCCAAGAAACTCAGGTGTTTCTCCTTCATGGCACTTAACAGAAGTGTCTCTTCTTGCACCACTGTGTGCCCAGAGCCCAGCCCAGCCTCTGGGCTGTAATAAAACCCAAAACCAGTTGCCAATTCCAACTCACAGTGACCCCATGTGTGTCAGAGTAGAACTGTGCTCTGTAAGGTTTTCCATGACTCTGTTCTTTCAGAGGTAGATTGCCAGGCCTTTCTTCTGAGGTGCCTCTGTGTGGACTTGAACCGCCAACCTGTCAGTTAGTAGTTGAGCGCTTAACGGTTCGTGCCACCCAGGGGCTCCTGGCATGTAAAAACCAAATCAAACCAAACCTGTTGCCATCGAGTCAATTCTGATTCATAGCGACCCTATAGGGCAGAGTAGAACTGCCCCACGGGGCTTCCAAGGAGCTACTGGTGGATTCAAACTGCAGAACTTTTAGTTAGCAGCCAAACTGTTAACTACTGGGCCACCAGGGATCCTGGCATGTAATAGGTGCTCCATAAATACCGACTAACACAGAGAGGAGTAGGCAGAAAGCTGGGCTTGAGAGGGTGAGAGTAAACTACACAGAGTCCTTCTCAGGATTTAGGAAGCTGTTGCTTTAGAAATAATTGGCCTGTGTTGAGTTTAAATGCCAACATGTGGCTATCAGATTGAATTTAGGTGTCATTTCCTCTAGGAAACCTCTCTGATCCCACTCTCTGCTCTTGTGTGTGCCTTCAGACCAAACCTGTAAACCTCTGAGTCGATTCTGACTCATGGTGACCCTATGGGACAGAGTAGAACTGCCCTATGGGGTTTCCAAGGCTATAATCTTTATGGAAGCAGACTGCCACATCTTTCTTCTGCGGAGCGGCTAGTGGGTTCAAACCGTCACCGACTTTCTGATTAGCAGCCAAGCAGTTAACCAATATGCCACCAGCGCTCTTTTGCCTGCAGACAATGTCCTGTAAATGCCATCCTGGCGCTCATTCCACTGCTCTATTATCTGTCATCCTCCTCATCAGCCTGTATTTCATATATCCCACATGGAGAGCAACGGGGCTGCAAGAGGTTGTGGACACTGCATAAGGCATCTCCAGGAGACAGGAAGGGGCCAGCTCTGTTCCCTACAGGGGATGGTCGGTAACAAACTCAGATTCCAGAGAGTGTCTTCTTCCACACTTTCTTATCGCTGTCCTTTTCATGGGCTCCCAGTCTGTTCTCAGCTAGCTTTGCCCTCCACGCTGAATGAAAACCAGGAACAATCAACAGTGGTTCTAAGCATCACAGAAACTTACATCTGCTCTTGGAAGCAGAAACAAATATGGGGCTGGGCATCAGAACAAATTCTCATATCCCTCCTCTGCTCAACAGCCTTCAGGGGCTCCCAATTGCTTTCAAGGGAAGGTTCTAGTGAATCTTCTTTCCCAGACAGACCCTCAGCTCCATCAGGACCTCCATCTTTGCTAAAGATCTCCTCCTGACCTCACACCTGGGCTTACACTGACTCTGGTCTCAGGGGCCCTGTCTACACCTCTCTGCTTTCCCCAATCCTGCCATCCTTTGAGGGAGTGCTCAGAGCCCCGTCCTCTTCACTCCTGCCCACACTGATCGCCTGGGTGTTCCAGCTCTCAGCATGAGCTTTCAAGGTTGCACATTCTGGGCCATCAGCCAGATCGTAAGCAACCAGAAGGCAGGGAATAAGGCTTCTGTGTCTTAGGCAGTGAGCATTAGTACCTTGCCTCATGCTAGGAACATAATGGACTCTTAAAATGATTTCCTAGCAGTGCTGTATTTTTTTTGGTAAAAAATAGGATCTAGACTGTACTCTTCCATGCGATTCCTGTCTATTCATATTTGACTTACTTAAATTGAATTGGTCAGAAGTTTATTTACATCCAATGACATTTTAAATAGATCAATTACTATCAGTTAATGTTGATTCAATATTCATAATTTACTTATTTTCCTCACACACTATATTTTTTCATAAAACGGTTCAGAAAATTGATTCAAACAGCCTGACCACGAGCTCTTGAGCCTGTCTTCTCTTTATTCTAGGAAAAAACAGATAACCTGTTAGGGAGCATCATTGAGAACACACTTGTCTGTGAATTAGATTCTTCTGTCACTGAAATCCTACCCCACACCAGAGGCTGCGGGACAGTGTGGTAGATTATCATTCAGTCACACTATGGTCATTCATTCAGTATTTGCTGAGGGCCTTCTATGGGCCAGAGACTGTTCTAGGCACTGGGATAGAGAAGTGAATGAAACATTGTAAGCAAATAATAATGATAATAATAATAATCAACAACAACAACAAAAACCCGTTGCCGTCAAGTCAATTGCGACTCATAGCGACCCTACAGGACAAAGTAGAACTGCCCCATGGGGTTTCCAAAGGAGCAGCTGATGGATTCAAACTGCAGACCTTTTGGTTAGCGGCCGAGCTCTTAGCCACTGCAACGTAGCTATGATTTATTATTTATGATGCGCCAGGCACTGTGCTAAGTAAGTGCTTTATGTCAGTCATCTCATTTAATTCTCATGCCAGTCTTATGAGGTAGGTGTTAATATCATCTAGTTGTACAGGTGAGATACAGGAGAGAAAACTGAGATGCATAAAGGTTAAGTCCCTTGCTCAAGGTACCACAGTTAATAATATCCTGAACTAATAAATACTGATCAACCATGCCCAGCTTCCTCCCTCTTCCATCAGCATTTCTCCTAGAGGCCTCATGTTTGAACCAAAGGATCCAAGGGGTTTGCACTGATTAAGTATTTGCTTAAATTAAGATTCTATTGGAGGTAATGTTCCACTGCAGATTGAAATTATGGGGCTGTCATTACGATCCTGCCCTGACTAGAGAGAGGTAATGCTGGCATCTTAGTTATCTAGTGCTGCTGTAACAGAAATACCACAGTGGATAGCTTTAACAAACAGAAATTTATTCTCTCACAGTTTAGGAGGCTAGATGTGCAAATTCAGGGTGCCAGCTCAAGGGGCTTTCTCTCTCTGTCAGCTCTGGGGGAAGGTCCTTGTCACCAATCTTCCCCTGGTCTAAGAGTTTCTCAGCTTCTCACTTCGGTCTCTTCTTTGTTGGTGGCCTGAGGTCCCCCTCCTCTCTGCTTGATTCTCCCTTTTATAGCTCAAAAGAGATTGACTCAAGATAACATAATCATGTAGATTGAGTCGTGCCTCATTAACATAACTGCCTCTAATCCTGCCTCATTAACATCGTAGAGGTTAGGATTTACAACACATAGGATAACCTCCTCAGATCACAAAATGGTGGACAATCACACAATACTGGGAAGCATGGCCTAGCCAAGTTGAGGCACATATTTGGGGGTCACAATTCAATCTGTAACAGCTGATCACTTTGGTTGGCCTGGGGAAGGTAACACCCCACCCCCCACACCCCTGAGGATGTTTTGAGGAGGGTCGTCATGTAGCTGTGTTGTTGGGAAGCAGAGAATTGGGATGTAATTTAAGTTTGAAGCCTAAACAGAAAAAGTGCCAGATCCCTGGGGGTGCGGATCCCAGGCATGGCAAGGGGAGGGTGTTGGGGGGTTGCTACGGCAGAAGTCCCAGCCAATTCTGACTTGGTACTCTTGAGGCTGCTTGGATGACTGCAAGAGTAAGCACAGGAACTGTGTCCCTGGAAGCCCGACGAGAGCTGATATTAGAAAACCCTGAGCAGTGTGGTTGCCTTCACGCAAAGATCCCCGGAGGCCTGGGCAGGATCTGATCAGCAGCGGAGAACCCCAATCTGCTACTCTGTTCACTGGTCTGGGCAGCACCAGATGTCCACAGCGCCACCGTGTGGCGGCGAGAAGCAATGGCAGAAGCAGATGATGGGTAAAAATCCAAGTCCTGATCCCATGAGTGTGGAAGTTGTAACTCCCTGTTATAACTCTCCTTGAGGATTGCAGGAGTCCCCAAGTCTTTTGAGAAGTTCTAGGTAAAGGAGATCCCCAA